CCCCTTCCTCCCACTTTTTTTTTTTTTTTTTTTTTTTTTTGCAATACGCGGGCCTCTCACTGTTGTGGCCTCTCCCACTGTGAAGCACAGGCTCCGGACGTGCAGGCTTCGTGGCCATGGCTCCCCGGGCCCACCGCCCCTCGGCCTGGGGGGCTCCAGCTGCGGAGCACAGGCTCCGGACGCGCAGGCTCAGCGGCCATGGCTCACGGGCCCAGCTGCTCTGCGGCATGTGGGATCTTCCCGGACTGGGGCATGAACCCGCAGCCCCCGCATCGGCAGGCGGACTCTCAACCACTGCGCCACCAGGGAAGCCCTTCCCTCCACTTTTTTTTTTTCATCAGTTCTCGGGCCCCGGGCTGCCATGGATGTGCACCTCAAAACCGTTAGGAGTAAGGAGAGCACACAACTGCTCCAAGGGAAGATGCAGCACAGGAGGGATGGACAAGGTCACTACTTTTGCCTGAACAGCAATGACTCAGGAGGCAACCAAGGGGCCATTCTTAAATCTTCCTGGGGTCATGGCCTCCTTCCTTTCTACAAACAATACAAGGGGTCATCCCCAGGACTGTTGTTGGCGGGGGTGGGGGTTACTTTCCCAAACAGAGTCTCTATGGCTGCCCCAAGCAGCCAGTCATGGTTATCAGGCTAGACACAATGACCAAAGTGCTAGCCCATGTCCAGTAAGTGGAACTCAAACACCCACCAGTTAGGATATTATGTTATCACTGGTCTCAGGTAGGAGCCTCAAAGACCACCTATCACATACAAGCCACACTTGATGGCACATCAATCTGGGATACAGTCAATTAACAATAGCTTTTGCCTTCTTGGCAAGCATGAGACATTAGGGTGCGAAGAGATGGCAACATCCATTTGAAATAACAGAACATGAGCTAAAGCCCAAGCTGGCCAGCAACTGGTACTTACATCCCAGATAGTAACTGCTGCCTTACAAACCAGTTAAGCAGCAAAGGAGCTGGTAGTTAAAGCTGACCAAGTGTCCTCAGCTGAGGTTAGACCATCCTGTTTGTGATGCCAATTGTCTTACTCACCTCTTCTTCAATCCATCAGTGAGAGAGACATTCCCTCCCTAGACTAATGGGGTTGGCTGAACACGTGACATTCTACACTGAAAGATGGGATGAACAGCAGTTTACAAGTCACATTTACCCACAGCCCAAGAGAGGACACCTCTCACCATGCAGGGCCACGTGGGGGATTACACTTGGAACAGAGTGAACAAGTAGGGGCTTGGGAGGCAGACTTTGTAGTAACAAGAGGGTAGGGACAAGCCCTGGTTCCCACAGGAGGGTGTGATGGGCTCGTTTGGATAATTCAGTGGGCTGATAGGGAACTGAAGCCTGCTACTCGGGAATAAACAGGCACTGTGTCTGGTTCCTATGATAAGAAGGATCATATAGCTATAGGGGACTTCACATGTGGGAGAAGAGGTAGTGGGGAATTGCAGTTAGACCATTTGAGGCCCTCAATTTTACTAGATGTTAAGACAGCTCTCAATATTGAATTTTAATTTCAGGCCTCATGCCACAAGAAGTTATTAAAAAGTATTTCTTCCTTGAACTAATAATTGAGTTCAATAATGTCACAGGATACAAAATAAAGACAACAATCAATTGTATTTCTAGATACTAGCAATGAACATGTGGACACCAAAAATTAAAACACATTTACAGTCACTAATAAAAATAAAATAATTAAGTGTAAATCTAACAAAACATGTCCAGGACATGTATACTGAAAACTCTACAACAGTGGTAAAAGAAATCAAAGATCTAAACAAATGCAGAGATATATCACGTTCATGAATTGGAAGACAAAGCATAGTAAACATGTTAATTCTCCCAAAATTGATAGATTTAATGCAATTCCTATCAAAACCCAGTAAGCCTTTTTTTTGTAGATATAGGCAAGCTTATTCTAAAATTTTATGGAAAGATAAGGGAACTAAAATAGCTAAAATAATTTTGAAAAAAGTAATAAAATGGGAGCAGTCAGTCCTCTCCACTTCAAAACTTATTATATAGCTGTAGTAACCAATACTGTGTAGTATTTGCAGAGGGATAGACACATAGATCAATGAACAGGGAATCCAGAAATAGTCCCACAAAAATATGCTCAACTGATTTTTTAAAAAATAAATTTATTTATTTTATTTATTTATTATTTTTGGCTCTGTTGTGTCTCCGTTGCTGCATGTGGGCTTTCTCCAGTTGTGGCGAGCAGGGGCTACTCTCTGCTGCAGTGTGCGGGCTTCCCACTGTGGTGGCCTCTCCCGTTGCAGAGCATGGGCTCCAGGCATGTGGGCCTCTATAGTTGTGGTGCACGGCTTCAGTAGTTGTGGCGCGCAGGCTCTAGAGCGCAGGCTCAGCAGTTGTGGCGCATGGGCCCAGTTGCTCCGCAGCATGTGGGATCCTCCTGGACCAGGGCTCGAACCCATGTCCTCTGCATTGGCAGGCAGATTCTTAACCACTGTGCCACCAGGGAAGCCCACTCAACTGATTTTTGACAATTGTGCAAAAGCAGTTCAAAGCAGGAAAGATAGCCTTTTTTAACAGGCCATAGCTGTCTATGGAAAGCTTGTGAGGAAATCGCAGGCCAAAAACTTAGAAAACTGGACCAGCCAAGAAGGAAGACAATGATTTGATTGAGGTTCTACCAGGTAGTGATGGGCGGGGAGGGATAATGTGCACGCAGATCAGGATGAAAGCTGCAGGTGTTTATTTCATCTTTCTGAATTCAACCTCTTCTTATTGATCCATCACAGGCTCTGGTGATTTTCCCATCAGCCCCACACTGCAAAGTCAGGTCACCGCTAACTGAGCATATAGTGTTCCAGACAACATTAGCCTTCCCAATAGCAAAATTCTCAGGCTATATAAGGTAGCAAGATGGGCCTCAGTAGCTTCAAAGGTACAGCCTCCCGGGTTCAAGTCTGCCAGAAAAGAGAGCTCTTATAGACTTAACAACTCTCATTCAACTCCTGGGATTCATTCTGATGGGACCAACCCGGTCACCACCACCACATCACACACACACTCGTGAAGTGTAGCTAGGGTGATTTTGTGTATGATTGGCCAGTCCTCGGTAAGGTTCCACCCCCAGTGTCAGGCACGGAGCCTTACCTGATCCATGTGGACTAAAAGGAGAATTTGGTTCTCCATAATAAACTCTGGTTGTTGTTATAGAAGAAAGAATACTGAATAGCCAAAGCGGCAAACGTCCACTCTAGCCTCTCAGGGAGAAGTTTCATGGTTAAAGCCCAGCTATTTGCTCCCAATATTAACTAATGTTCAACAGGGCTTTTAAACTCTAGTTTCTCTTTTCTCGACTTTATCAGGGGATGCAGATTAGTTGTCAGTGAACTTTCGCTGGGACATTGTTCATGACCACCCCAGTGTAGTCTCATATTTGGAGGCATTATGCAGCTTAAGATGGCTAAGCTTGCCATTTCAAGATTCCACTCCTGTATCATAAAGTTCCAGCGCCTTGACCAGGAGCTCAAATGGAATGAGCTAGCCCTGCCTGCAGGAGGCCTCTGGGGTGACCCCTCAGTGAAAAACTGACCAAAGTCCTCTGAAGCACCAGTTTTTCTGAATCAAACTCTCAGCAAAGATCAGAGATGTTCTTTGCTCATCAAACAAGAGAGGAAGAAGGCTCCACCTTCTTCTAGTTCCTCAGCCTCACCATCCAGACCTATGGAATTGATGTCTTATACTACTACTTGCTGTTGACCCACTGTTCTTGCCCACTGACACCCATGGAATGTGTACACTGCCAAGTTGGGAGACTATGCGTGTTCACTGGTTTGCATTACCCTCTTGGCAAAGGATCACTCAAAGAAAGTGGTGTATTTCATCTCATCACCACTCCCCCTGGCAAAACTCCCTAACCTCAGCCTTCCCCACTGTCATTTCTACTTTGGGTATCAATGGGCTCTTGTTCCTCCATGGAATACTAAGCAAGGATTTGATAACTGATCTTGCCCCAAGATATGTGTACTGGGTTTTTGTTGTCGTTTGTTTACTTTGCTTCTGTGTGTGTGTGTGTGTGTGTGTAAGACTCAAGGTTCTTCAAGTTTGAGTATATCCATTCTCTGCTCCTGACAGATAATGAAGTGGAACATGCAAACACACTTTAAAAATTTTAGTTAGAAAATGTTTTATTGGTGGCGCAGTGGTTGGGAGTCCGCCTGCCAATGCGGGGGACACGGGGTCGAGCCCTGGTCCGGGAAGATCCCACATGCCGCGGAGCAACTAAGCCCGTGTGCCACAACTACTGAAGCCTGCATGCCTGGAGCCCGTGCTCTGCAGCAGGGTAGGCCACCGCAGTGAAAAGCCCGCACACCCTGTGCACTGCTCTGAGTTAACTACAGTTATAAAATTTCGTGACTAGCGATAAGCAACCCAGCGGCGGGGCTTCCCTGGTGGCACAGTGGTTGGGAGTCCGCCTGCCGATGCAAGGAACACGGGTTCGTGCCCTGGTCCGGGAAGGTCCCACATGCCGGGGAGCTGCTGG